TAAACTACCGCGGCTTTCAGATGGTCTGGACTCTTGGCCATGTGAGTTCCCTGGCTCGATTATGCCAAAGACCATACGGATAGGATGCACGTGTCCCAACAGGGTCACAAGGTCCTCTGAGGTTTCAGATGGACTAGTGTCCTGGTGGGGTGTCCGATGAGGAACACCCACCCCGACGAGGATGGGGATGTCTCCTGAATCCTCCAGGTTGCCTCGCTAGCCTTTCAGCAACAAAGAAAAACTGAGATCAGATGGCCGCGACCAAAGGGAAATTATAGAAAAGACAGGTGAACAAACACAGTTTTACAAAAACTTACCCGGCCGGTTGATCACAAACCTTCCGGTTGATCACAAACCTTTTGGAGTCGGTTCCTCTCGGAGGTCTCTGGGGGGATCCTAGAGAAGACAGGCACACACACACACAGTTTTACAAAAACTTACCTAGCCAGTTATCACAAACCTTTTGGGGTCGGTTCCTCTCAGGGATCTCTGTTGTACCTCATCCACTGGACCCCAAAAAGACCACCGAGGACCCAACACACCAAAATGCAAAAGCAAAGGTTTATGGTTTATTTGGGCTTAAGCTTGGGCTCTCAGACCTCACCAACTCAACGGATCCGTGCTGAGAGCCCAGAGTAAGGGAGAGTGGAGCCTCTTATAGGTTTTAGACAAAGAAAGAAGGGGGTGCTGAAGATGCATTTTGGTTGGTTCAAGGAGCCCACACGCACCAACATAATTTTAAACTGATTGGATGTATAAGATGCAGCCCTGGAAGTTTCTTATTGGTAGGTGCTATTCTCAGGGCTGTGGAATGTGCTGACTGTTATCTGTGGGGCCAGGAGTCTGTTTTTACCTTATAGGGCAGTTTTCATGCCTGGGTTTGCTTAATCTCTAGTTTCCTGGAAGGGGGGTGGGGAATAGCAGGCGGGGGTCAGGGCATGTCTAGGCATGTCTAAAGCAGCAGCCAAGCATTTTACAGAAGCTAAAAGAGCAATTAGTGGGGGTCTGGAGGGATTGGGGGCTAGCGGGTGAATGAAGAGGGTCTCAGGGTCCTACATTGTCACTGCCAGTCTTGATATGTTACCTGGCATATCATAAATGCTGAGTAAACATCTGTGGAATGAAGGAATGAATGAAACATCTGTTGCTAAAAAGAAAAACATGTTTGAGTTTTCTGTGATTGACTTTTGGTCTCAATCATCACCCCTTAATTTTGAAATAATGGTGGGCTCACAGATTGAGTCAGCTACTCAGCAAGACCCAGGGTCTACATTCTATCACAGTGACATGACTGCCTGTTTTCTTCTCTTTCAGGAACAAAACCCTTTGCATTTGGTGGAACACGATGCTTCTCCTGGTGTGTATCAGAACTGCCACAAAGTTATAAAACCCAGTGATATATATAACCCAGGGTGAAGGGTCAGAATTGCCCCTGCATCCCTTACTCTTCAGCTGCAAGCCTGACCCCAAATGGCTTAAGCAAAACTCCAAGAATGATTCTTGCTTTCCACCTGGCCTGACGCAGGAACACACAAGCATATCCCCCTGATCAGTCATCACTTGTCAGGCCCACAATGTCACTTGGTTTCTGTCTGTCTAGGTTCTGTGTTGCTCCTTTCACAAACAGGCTGTCTCTTCCTAACAACTGTGAGACAGCTTTGTCAGCTTCCCAAATCTTCTCAAATTCAGTCTACTGAGAAAAATGCAGGGCAGTCTAGAATTTTCAGTGTTTTGTTGGATCTGATGAATCCATTCATGAACCAATTGTTATGACTATGAAAATGTGAAGAAATCCTTGGCCATATCCAAGCCATGTGCCTCAGCTGTGGGTACTAGTGGTACAAACCATATAGTTCACAGGGACTCAGAGCAGGGAAATTCCATTTCCCAAGTCTATAACTGATACCAGAAAGGAAATGGATGCTGGGGAGGGAACAAATCAACCCATTCTTTTTAAAGAAGATTTATTTGTTTTTTACTTATTTGTGTTTGTGCGTATGTCTGTGTGAGTGCATGCATATGTCTAAATGCCTAGGTGTGTGTAAGGTCAGAAGAGGAGTTTCAGGTGCCCTCCTCTCTCACTCTCTGCCTATTCCTTTGAGGCAGGGTCTCTTCCTGAACCTGGAGCTCATATTTTTTTGGCTACACTAGAAGGCAGCAAGCCCCAGAGATCTTCCTATCTCTGTCCCCATTAGAGTTGGGGTTATAGGAATGTATGGGACACCTGCCCTGTTACAGGAGTGCTGGAATCTAAACTCTCATTCTCATGATTGTACGAGTACACTTAACCACTGAGCCATTGCTCAAGCAGCTGCACGCTCATTTTTTGAACAGTATATACTGACGATATCCAATGATAGGCGATCAAGGGAAGGATTTCAGAAACTGAAAGGGAAGGAGACAGGGAAGGCCCTTCCCCACCTCGTTGATCTTCCCCTTACAGAGATGGGACCACTTGCATCTGCTTTAACTTCTCTTTTTGTGTCAAACCTAGACCTGCGATTTAGGCGATCAGTACAAGAAGTGAATCCAAGGGCTTGCTGATCACTAGACGCTGTGACAGCCAGACACCAACCAAAAAAGGAAAGAAGATAAAATTGGGACAATTCTATAACAGCTGGGCCTCAGACCCCTCCCAGAGGTGGAATCCAAGCCTTGAGTCATGAGAGGAAACTGACCCATGACATGAATGGCAATATAAAATTGGGCACACTCTCCTCTCTTTCCAACCTGGATTGCTGATTTTCTCAAGACAATAATATTTGGAAGTTTTCAATAAAAATGGTTTAAATATTGATATTGTCCCATACATACCCAGAAGGAGGTAACCTACAAATGAAGCATTTTTATCTTTAAAAAAAAAAAATGTGTCTTCAGGACAAGTTCTTTCCGAATCTCTCTTCCCAGACCTGGCAAAGGTTTAGAAACTGGTGCTAAGAAAAGTGGTCCAGAATGAATAATAATGTGATCCTCAATCAGGGATGCAAAGCCTCTGAATTGCATAACTCTCATTTGTCTGTGACTTTGAACTAGAAACACTCCTACATCACCCAAAGTTGAAATATAATCAAAGCTCTTAAAGCTAACCTGGATTGTATTTACTGAGCACAGAAGTCTTGAGTTGGACTAGAAAAGGGGAGGTGGAAGAGAATGAGACTGTCGCTAGGAGGCTATATGTATGGTCACTGTTATGGTTTGAATCTGAAATGTCCCCTGCAGGTTCGTGCTGTGAATAATTGTTCCCCATTTGGCAATGTTGTGCCCAGAGAATGGATCCCCAAGAATTAACCACGGAGTCCAGAGAGCATGCAAGAACAGAGAGTCTTTATTTGGGCTTAAGCTGGGACTCTCAGACCAAACTAACGTGGTAGGTTCATCTGAGAACCCCGATTGCAAGGGGAGGGAGCTTTTCATAGGTTTCAGACAAAGGGAGGAGGGGAATGACAAAGTTATATTTTGATTGGTCCAAAGAGCCCATGCGCACCAACATACTTTTGAATTGATTGGTTACAGTCTTGGAGGCCTCTCATTGGTGGGTGCTGCCCTCAGGGCTGTGGAATGTGCTGACTGTTATCTTCAGGGCTAGAGAACCCCGTTTATTCCTTATAAGGCCTCAAACCTGCCTGGGCGCCCTGGACATGCCTGGGCTTGCCTAGTCTATGACCATGAGACATCACAAAAATGGAGGAATCAGCAGTCAAAATGGAGATCGTGCGGTTTGTCCCTCTGGTTCCCTCAAGCCAAGCGATTTACAGAAGCAAAAAAAGCAGTTAGTCCTAAATAGGGGCAGGGGTCTAGGGAGTCCAGGGGAGGGGACCAAGGAAGAGAGTTCCATATTTCCCCCTCTCCTTGTAACTTGGAGACCCCAGTCATGGGGCTTCCTGGAGTTCAATGACATCTTGGCTTAGGGGCCGGTATTGTGATCTCATGGCCATTATTTGGATTGCCCCTAGTCGGTCCTTCATGAACTGTACTAACCTGTTTAAGATACAGGGTCTGAGGGTTAAGAGTAGGATCAAAATGAGGAGGGGGCCTATCAAGGTGGATGCTAAGGTGGTCAGCCAGGGAGATGTGTTGAACCAAGACTTGAACCATCCCTGTTCTCTTGTTCTCTTTTTCTCTTAGCTAATCCTTCTCTTACCTTAGCCATAGTATCTTTGACTACCTCTGAGTGATCGACATAAAAACAGCATTCCTCTCCCAGGGCTACACACAGCTTCCCCTGTTGCAGGAAGATCAGGTCTAAGCCCTGTTGATTTTGCAATACCACTTCTGCTAGGGAGGACAGGGATTCTTGTAAATGAGAAATTGTATTTTCCAGCCTTTCTGTATCTACATCTATTGCAGCCCTCAAGCTTGAGTACTGTTGATGTTGGGTGGCTAGTGAGGCCGCTCCTGTCCCAGACCCAATGAGGCTGATTCCAAGAATCATATTTAGAGTAAAGGCTATGGCTGTGATTGGCTCCCTGGCAACCTGGGATCGAGTTCTGTTAATCCGTCCCAACAGTTCATCATTAGTATGGTATAGCAGTCTGGGAACTAACTGGACTAGGATACAGTAGTCTCGTGTCTGATTAAAAAACTCCATATGCACGCAAGGGGTCAGGCCAAAGGAGCAAGTCCACCATGCATCAGGCTCAGGGACCAAGTAACTGGTTAGGTATGATAACTCAGTGATCCGAGTGACATTGCATAGTTTCTGGTAATCGATTGGGATCTGTCCTATGCATAGTCCTTGTCCTATGATATGTTGCAGTGTCAACTTGGCCTTAGAGCTCCAACGACAGGTGTTGTAGTTGTCAGAAAAGTTGTATGTCCCCAAGACTGCTATGCCATCATAATAAGGTGGGGCAGTATCATAACATAACCAACAAGAGGCCGTCATGTCTGGCTTTGTAGCTTTCAGTACCAGATATGATTGCTCCAGCAGAGTGAGGAGAGGGTTTACCTCCGGTTTCTCAAAAGGGGCCAGTACCTTAGTATTTCAAACTTTAGCTCCTCTGGAGGTGGGGGCCCCAGGGCCTATGGGAGAAATTGTGGCCACCTCTGGGGTGATGGGCACCTTTGGGGTGGTTTGTGCCCACGGTGTAGGGGCAAAGACTTTGTTTGGTCTAACCTCAACTGTGGGTTCGGGGAGTAATCCGATTACTCGACAGATCCTGAAAACTGATCCCAAGTTCTCAGACTTCAACTGAATGCCCCAAGTATAATCCATCTCCCAATTGAGGGCCTCCCTTCCTTGGTCTGTGAAACTCATTTTAAGAGGATTACAGTTAGGATAGCATTTATTCCTTTGGGTCCATACGGGGATGTTATGGACAGCAGCGGGCATGACTGCTGGGCAGCCAATGCGTGTTAGTGTGATAAAATCATCTTTAACAGGGAGTGTCCAATCTATGAACCCTGTACTCAAGCAATTCCATGATTTGCAATAAGAGTCATAAGGTGTCCCACATTTTCCTTCTCCCCCTTTTTGCCTGTGGGACTCAGGGCAAACATAAAAACTTGGAGTATGTGGGTGGAGTATGTGGGACCTATACCAGCAATCAATTTTGAAACGTCCAGTTTCAAATCTGGGTACCAGACAGATGGGGGAACTACTTTGAACATCTGTGCCAGGACCCTCATAGAGTTAACATCTATAAGTTGCCAGGTTGAATTAAAGGGCTGGTGGGGGTTGGCACCACAAACACTTATAACAATTAGTATAGTAAGAACTAAGAATGGTGTAGTCTTAACTTGAGAAGATTGTCTGCATTTCGGTGAACTTTCCATGCCGTGGGTCCTAGTGCTGGGGCCTGGGGGTCCTCTGGGTTGTCGGGATGTGGATCAGCTCTCTGGACATGAATGTGATGTATCCAGGTAGCGATTCCGTCTACCTTGATGGCCGTGGGCGTAGTCAGGAGCACCACATAAGGGCCCTTCCAGCGGGGCTTGAGCATTTCACGGTGGTGCCGGCGAACGTAGACCCAATCACCTGGCTCATAATTGTGTGGAGTGGGAGGAGGCACTGTCTCATAGATAGCTCTCAGTCGGGGCCACACATCCTTATGTGCATTAGCCACTGCTTCTAAGGAATTAAGCAACTGATGGGTATCAAATTCAGCAATTAGTTCAGCTCTTAAATTGGGGAGAATAGGAGGGGGTCTTCCAAACATGATTTCATAGGAGGTTAACCCTAGCAGATAGGATGAGTTCCTTACCCTATACAGGGTGAAGGGAAGGAGAGCCACCCAGTCCCTGCCAGTCTCCATGGTTAATTTGGTAAGGGTCTCTTTTAGAGTTCTATTCATCCTCTCTACCTGTCCTGAGCTCTGGGGCTTGTATGCACAATGTAATTTCCATCCTGCCCCCAATATCCTAGCTAATTCCTGGGTTACCTGTGAAGCAAAGGCTGGCCCATTGTCAGAGCTCAGAAGGGCTGGGATGCCATACCTGGGTAAAATGTCCTCCAGCAATTTCTTGGCCACCACCTGAGTGGTCTCATGTTTGGTGGGGAAGGCTTCAGTCCATCCTGAAAAGGTGTCTACCAGAACTAGTAGATATTTGTAACCAAACTTGCCTGGCTTGCTTTCTGTAAAGTCTATCTCCCAGTGGGCCCCTGGTCTAGAGCCCCTCATCTGAGCCCCTTGTTCCTTAGGATGGTTTTCAGCATTGGTCAGCTTGCAACTAAGGCATGCAGAAGTGACTGCATTAACCAGTGGGCAGAGATTCAAGACTTTTAAGTGAGCATTTCTTAAGAGTTCAGCTGTTTTCCTTGTACT